AGGGCCTGAGGGCCCAAGCCTGGCAGCTCTGTAAATATCTGTTCCTTGGGGCTTCCGGCTGCATCTGTGGGGAGAGCTACCCCGACCAGGGCAGGGTTCTCTCTTCTGGCTCTGAGGGACCCCTGTGTCCTAGGTGTAAAACTAGCCCAGCCTGGAGTCAGGGTGGGAAGCGGGTGTCTCCGATTGTGGGTAGAGGAGGGTTAGGGGACTGTAAGGAAGAGACCCAATGTCTTCGTGAGCCGGCTCTCAGCCGTCGCCAGCCCTGAGCCTGTAGTCGGGAGACTGAGGCGCAGGACTGGTTCCCAGTACCGACCACTGGGATCCTCCCTTTCCGACCCCGGGCGATCCGAGCCACCCGGCCTCCATCACCCTCCTCCACCCTCACCCCTCACCGTCTCACCCGGGTCGTACTCTGGGTGACTGAGGTTCCTCCCACCCAGGTTGGCTCTTGGGCCTTCCCGACCCTTCCTCACCAACCGAGGATGTTTCAGACAGTCCCCGACACGTCGTCTTACGTCAAGGTAAGACATGACAGCGTCTTTAAACAGGTAATGACCCCCAGCCCTTCTGCCACCGGGCCTGTGGCACCTCCCCGCTTCCCCCGGGAAAAGGGGTGGAGGGCTCCGCGGGTGGATCTGGAGCCGGGGGCGCTCCCGACCGAATGAGGGTGGCGCAGACCCTCGGGAATCCTTGACTGGGGAGGAGAGCTCTCGGTAGGCACTGTTCGGGACCCTGGAAGTGGGTGAGCGTGGTGAACGCTGGGCAGGGAAGCCGAGATGCCAGTCCGCGGACCTGCCAGCCAGGATCGGGTCCCAGTGGGTCCCGCGCTCGCGCCGCGGGCGCACAGCACATTTCAAATTACGGGTCTGCGTGTACTGGGGAGTGTGCATGGGAGCCTGTGGGCGTGTGTACACGGGTGTGTGCGACTGCGACGCGCTTCTCCCACCGGTTCGACGCCCTGTGAATCCTCAAGCCCACCTTTCTTGGCCACACCCGCCCTGCATAGAGCAGCCTGCTGCATTTGACAGCATATAGAACTTTTTTTTCACTCACAACAGTTCCCAAGAATGTAAACAAACCGAGGCCAGGACATCTGCGTTGCACGTTTACATGAAAATCCGCCAGCGGGGCGGGGCTGAGGGTGGCCGGGGTTGGGACCCAGGCGCGACCTCCTTCCTTCCGGGTAGCAGCCCGGAGCCCGGGACAGTCTGAGTCGCAGTCCCAGTTCGGAGGAGGAGGAGGGGCCCACCGAGGTTCCGAAAACCTACCCCTCAGGTCCCGCCCCCTCCTCCCTGAAGCCCCGCCCCTGAGGTCCCCACCCCCACCCGAGTGCGCGAGCTGAGCTCCCGCCCGCATCCGCCGAGGCCACCGCAGTGTGGGTCAGTCTGCCGGCACGTGGCCACCTCCACGAGGGAGCGCCACTTTTGCGTCCAGCCCTCCTCCCATTTCCCTAAGGGGAAATTTGTTGACACGAGGTAGCATTCCCGATTCCCACCCCTTCCCAAGGTCTACAGGAGTTTTAGAGTCACTTTAAGGAGGCCGGAATGAATGGCAAATAAGCGCATCCGTGTACCGGCAACCAGTGAGTGGATGGCTGGACGGATGGCCCGCAGGCCGTGGCAGAGCAGACCCCGGGAGTCTAAAGCGCGCTGGGGCTCGTTGGGTCCAGGCTTCCCGAGAGGTTAGGCAGGCTGTGACCCCTCCCACCACCGCCACTCCCAGCTCCTGACGCGCCGGGAGCTCTCGCTGGCAGCCGGGCGCGGAGCACGGCAAGTGGCCCCGGGGCGGGGGAGCTGCGGTCTCTCTCCCACCCAGCCGCCCCTCCCACCCCATCCCCCGTTCTGCACACACTCGGAGATCCCAAACCTCAGGGATGACGAACCCTAGAGGGGCAAGTGGGAGCCCAGGAGACTGACTCAGGCCAAGAGTCGGAGAGAAAGCAAACGGGCCCAGGAGAGCGGAGCGGTCCGCAGTGGGGAGCAGGGGGAGGGGGGCGGCCGTCCAGGAGCTGTGGGCAGCCAAAGGAGCCGCTCGCCGCAGGAGCTCTTTTCAAGGGGGAAAAATGGATTTTTCAGCAGCCACAAAGTTTGTATTGTTGCACAAAGGGGTGCATTGAAGGCGGCGAGAGGTCTGCGTGGCAGGGACAATCTTGGGTCTGTTCCGCCGGCTCCCTACACCGACCATTTGCCAGAGGGGCACAAACAGTCCCCGGCTGCCAAGCCCCTGCCCTTGCGCGTCCGGCCCCCGGCTCTGAGGTTGTTGACAAACACCAAGAGCTCAGGCGCCCAAGCCCGGAGCCTGGAGCTGCGCGGGGCCGGCAGCCAAGGGTGCTCAGTCCCCCCGCAGCGATCTGGGCTCTGAGAACCCCGAGTGCTCAGGGAGCCATCCGCAGAGAGCACTTAGGGTGGCTCTGAGGTTGGAAAGAGCAAGGGAAAGGAGAGAAGAACACGAGTGACTCTTTAAGACAATAACACTCAGTAGATGAATAATGGTGGTACCGTCAAGGTACCCCTTACATTTTCCAGGCCCTGTTCTAAGCATTGGATTTATACTAACTCATTTAATATTAATAACAACACTAGGAGGTAATCCATTTTGCAGATGACAAACCGAGGTATTGAGAGCTTAACGTAACCCAGCTTTTGAGGGGCGGAGCCAAGATACAAATAATAACAGAATTGTGCGGACTGCCAGGCAAATAGCCCTCCGAGGGGTAGGTCCTATTATGACACCAACGTACAGATGAAGGCACTGAGGCACAGAGCGGTTAAGGAACTTGTTCAAGCCTACAGAGCTGGCTAAGTGCAGAGCCAGAATTCCAACCCTGGGAGCCTGGCCCCCAGTGAAGCTTTCAACCTGGACGTTCCACTTGCAGATACGGGGTGGAGCACGCATGAGACCGGCGTGTAATCCTGGCCCCGTGCTGTGCAAATCGCAGTCGATAGCAGCGCGAGGAGCACAATTCCGAAGGCCCCTCGCCTGCCTCGCGGAGACGGTCAGGGTCCTGCACTCCCCCCCTTAGCGAATCTTCCAGACTCCATGCTCTCACTCCCCCACCACCTACCCTGGTTCAGCCCCTGCCTTATGCTGGAAGAGACACCCACCCCTCACACGAGACCAAAGGAGGCTTGTGGCCCCAGAATGTTCACCGCGGCGCGGCCCAGGGGCAGCGTCTGGCCGACGGGTCCTGCAGCGGGGTTTCAAGGACACAGGTCTGTACTTAGAATAAATGCCGGTTGGGGCGGCCAGAGATTGGAGGGGATGAAATTCTCCCTCCTCCCCCGCCCCCTCCAACCCCCAGGCCCCAGTCTAGGCGCGGCGGCTGGGTGAGAGTCCCGGCACCCGGCTGGTCTCCACCTCTTGTGAGCCTGCGCTCTCTGGTCGGCCTGGGACTCCCTTGGGGTTTCCGCGTCGACGCCGCGTGGTCTGGGGACCCGGCCTCCTCCGAGCGCCTCGGGCCCGGGGCGCAGAGACCCTCCCCCAGCCTGGCCCGCCGGCCCCCGGCCCTCCCGCCGCCGCGGCCTCCCACGTAGCGTTTGGAACCCGCTTGGCGCTAAGGCAAGAACGAGCGTGGGGAGCGGGCAGGGCGAGCAGAGGCTCTAAATCTTCCTTCAATCTGTGCGTAGATGAAGTCTGAGAAACAAATTCAAAGCAGGCGCGCCTGCAGAGCCTTCCTGCAGAAATATTCCCCGGCATTCAAGCGCATCCAGGGGCGGCTCGAGCTGCCTTGTTTGGCTAAGGTCAGACGAGACTCGAGTTCTCCAATAAAAATAAATCTCAAATTAATTATGGCCTCGAGCGAGGGGCCAGACACTTGAAGCTGCAGTTGTGCAGTCTGGAGTTTTGGCGCTCGCTCGCCCGTCCCTCCCCCGCGCCCCCGCCTCTCCCCCCCCCCCCCCCCCCCCCCCCCCCCCCCCCCCCCCCCCCCGCCCCTTGCCAGCTCGAATACCCGCCGAGGCCGCCGCCGGACTGGAGGGGCGGGGGAGAGGAGGGAGGACGCAGGGGAAAGGATCCGCCCGAGAGCCGGTGCCAGGCCTGGCATCTTTCGGGGCTTCAAGGGACGGAGCAGTCCCCGGGTCCGGAGGCACCCCGGGGACCCGGCTCCGAGTGTCGCGTCCTCCCCCCCCCCCCCCCAACCTGGGCTGGGACCAAAGAAGCCCAGGAAGTCGCGTCTGGAAAGCCTTGACCGGGTCAAAAGGGCTGACATTGAGAGAGCCAAGACACGTTTCACCCAGCCGCTCCCCTCCCGGGGGAAGCAGGACTTCCGCATGTTTGAAAATACTGTCAAGTGCGTATGGTGCGAGGCAAGTCATCCCACGAAAGTTCCAGCGAAAATGCTCAAAATCCACATGTTTCCTAAATATTCGCCGCCGTGTGCGTGCTTTCTGTCCGTGACCCTGGGCTTAGAAATGTGTGGTGAGTTTTTCTGTTGGCCCCCCACTTGAGAGCTTTTGTTTTCAGTGCTGGCCCCGCAGCCTTGGCTGTGTGTGTGTGTGTGCTCCCTGACTTGGAAGTCGGTCCGGGGCTGCTGGAATGGGCACCGGCGGTAGCAGGCACCGGCCACTGGTCACCAGTCCTGCCCAGTCTGGGAAAGGCAGGCAGGACAGTCTCTGGTGAGCCAGGAGAGAGGGTGTGTGCGAGTGTGTAGGCTGGGGTAACCAGTCCCTGGCTATGCCTGGAGGAGGGAGAGGGGGAGAAGGGAGAGAGAAAGGAAGAAAGGGGAGAGAGAAGGGGAGGGAGAGCGGAGAGAAGGGGAGGAGTTTCACCTCCCCAGCTCAAAGACAGATTTCATTTGTAGCAGGCTTCACCACAGGCTCTCTATCAATTTGTCTCAATGCAAACATTCGAAATATTCTCTTTGGCTGCTCGTGAAAACAATGTGAGCTGCCAGGATCAAACCATCTTTCCAGATGTCTGGTGGTAACCACATGAAACAGGGCAGACTTGTTTACTGTTGTGTTTGGTTAGGGCTTTTTTTCCCCCTTCGGGATTTAAAATAGAAGCAGCAGCAGGAGCTGGGAGGCAAACCCAGAGTTATGTAAGTGGGGCAAATTTGCCCACCAGAGTGTCAGTATAGGGTGGAGGGAGTCTCGAATCCCTCAGAGAGCTGCTGTTCCCAGTTGGGGGTGGGGGTGGATTCTCCTTCCTGGGTGGAAGACCTTATGAATGATCAGGAGCTCTTCATGGAGGGGCTGGGAAATAGCAAAAGGCATGGCAGTGGTGCCAGTCGGTCACAAAGGGGTGACAGTTGTGCCAATGCCTCAGAGAGCCTCAGCTCTTGCCCCCCTCCCCCATCTTCAAAAATAAGAAATTGCCAGAGCTTTGGTTTTCCAGGGAGAAACAGAAAGTGCTATTGAGCTCTACAGTTAAAACACGAGGGCAAGTCCTCAGTTGAATCTAGTTGCATATTGAGCAACTCCCAATGGGAGAGGCAGCTGTGGCTACAGGGAATTGGGGGTGCGTGGCTTACTGGGGTGACTCTACTGATAAGTGCAGTGAAGATAATATGATCATTGTCAGGCCCAATAGAAGTTGGGAAGAGAGACCTAGCCAACATTTTTGCCATAGTGGTGCCTTCTCAAGCTCTAGAAGGAGTGCATCAGGAAGGGGGAGCAGCCTGCCGTGTGGGGTGGCCATTAGCAACCTCAGTGTTTGCCCAGGACCCGGAAGGGGGCCTCCGGTGGTGGAGTTGGAATCCCTTCTGCCTGAAAGAGGGGCAATGTGGCTGGGGGTGCCCGGTTTCTGGCAGGTCCGGGTGGGAAGCGGTCTCCCCGCACCCTCTTGAAAGCCCTGTTGTCGTTTGAAAGTCGGCAGAGTCTGGGCTGAAAAGGAAACAATTTGGGGTTTGAAAGGATGTAATTCATTCTTCCTTTCCCTTTAACCTCTTTCCTCTCTGGAAAGCATGTGGAAAAACTGAAGGGAAGAGTGAGAGGGCAGGCGGCCTGCCTAGGGGAGGAAAGGGTTAAGCCTGATTTCTTTTAATTGAACTCCAGAACTGGTGGCCCCAGGCAAAGGGGGGGACTGACCCCGCTAGCGGTAACCAGATGTGGCGGTCCCAGGGGAGCCCCGGAGCAGACCCCTGGATTGAGAAGCAGACAGGAGGTGGGGGGGGGGTCGGCCCGGCCCCCATCCCACCCCCACCCCACCCCCACCCCACTCCCCCATACGCACACCGAGTCTCAATTGCTGGCAGGCTGCACCCGCCGCTCCAGGTCTGGTCACGTTCAGACCCGCGTCTGTATTCGAACCCAAAATTGGAGCTGAATTGATGAGACTAATTTCGAGAGGGGGTGGGGGGAGGGAGGGAGGGAGGCGAGCTAGCTTTCTGGCTCAATTGCTCCAGAAGAAATAAAGAATTAAATAAGTCACCTTTTTCGCCGCTGTGGATACCCTTTGATTTTTTTTTTTTTCTTTCCAATTGACTCGGATCTCCTCTGGATTTTTTTTTTCCCTCTTTCCCCGGGTGGACTCTTAAATAAAAGTGAAAAAGTCCAAAGCGTGGTCTGGAGAGCGTGGACAAGGTAACCTGTTTTGGAGGTTGGGGAGAAGGGAGTCAGGCCGAGAGCGCCTGGGGGAGGAGGTTTGGGGGGGGGGTCCCCTCGCTGCGCCCGGGCTCCTGAGGCTGCCCCAACCGGAGGGTTCGGGGGATGTCTCCGGGTGTCGGGGACCGACAAGGCGGGCCGAAAGCCGGCTGGCCTCACGGCTGGGTGGGGATGACGGTCCCGAGCACTAACCCCGGGGGCTCACCCGAGGGGCAAGTCTGAGTCTGTGCCGCGATCTTGAGTGCTGCGCTCTGCAGACCTGTTGACCAGTGTGGAGGGAACATCCTGCGGTCGTGTTGGTTTCTTGGGGCTCGGAGTCGCATTGCATAGGCGGCTCTGGCGGAGCGCTGGGACTTGTCTGGTCAGGTGAAGTGCGAGGGGTTGGACCCTAAAAAGGCGGGGAGAGGTGGCCTACGGTGCGCGGGTCCCGGCCCTGGGCGGGCTCCGGGAGCTCTCCAGGAGCAAAGGGTGTAGGCGCTTCGTCCGGAGGGCGCCCTTCTGCTAACAATGCGCTGGGAGCTAGTCCGCGCCCCCGACGGTGGGGTCCTTCCGAAACCGCCCCGAGTCGGCGTCCGCGGGTGCATCGCTCCCGGAGTCTGCCGCGACTCGGCAGCCGAGGGCCCGAGTGGAAAAATTCCCACTGCATGCATTTTTTTTTTTTTTTTTTTTAATGGTTAGTTTGCTTCGGTCTGAGTCCGGATCTTCCTGGCAGTAGGCTCCAGGTTATCCCCAGCCCGAGTAAAGTGCCCACCCCCCACCCCCCCATAAGTTTGACTCTGGCTGGAAAAAGCATTAATGAACGTATCTGTGGGAAGAAACGGAAAGTGAATGAGTCAGGAGGGCCACCTTCGGCCAAAGGCCCCGGGAAAAGGAAGGAGGCCAAAGGCGTTTGGTTTTGGACTTTGGGGGAAGGTGTTGGGGGTGGGGGTGCAGACTTCGAGAATCAGGGCGCGGGCGCCGGGCGTGGACCCCGGCATTGTTCCCAGCTCTCTCTTATCTCCCAGGAGCAAGTATCCTGTGTGCGCTGCGCCTGAATGTATCTGGGCATCTCCGGGTATATTTATATAGTGTGTGTGATGCGAAAAGCAGGACCAGCAAAGGGGAGGAAGAGGGGGTGTGGGGGGAGGGAAGACGAGGGAGAGAGCAGAGGGGAGAGAAGAGAGAGGAGAGCGCGAGACAGAGAGAGAGAGAGAGAGAGAGAGAGAGAGAGAGATAGGACTTCCTCCCCGATTCGCAAAGTGAAGTCACTTCCCAAAATTAGCTGAAAAAAAAGTTTCATCCGGTTAACTGTCTCTTTTTCGCTCCGCTACAACAACAAACGTGCACAGGGGAGCGAGGGCAGGGCGCTCGTGGGGGGCACGCAGGGAGGGCCCAGGGCGCCAGGGAGGCCGCGCCGGGCTAATCCGAAGGGGCTGCGAGGTCAGGCTGTAACCGGGTCAATGTGTGGAATATTGGGGGGCTCGGCTGCAGACTTGGCCAAATGGACGGGACTATTAAGGTAAGCGACTGGGCGGTGGGCGCGGGAGCGGCGGGGCCGGCCGGGGCGGCGGGGCAGCGGGCGGGCTTGGCGCCGGGCGCCGGGGTCCCGGAAGACGTGGCCACTCTCCCTTCCTTCCGTGCCCCGGCTTCGCGCCGTCTCCTCCCGCGCTCGGGCGGCGAGTCTCACTCGCGGGCGCGACCCTCCGGGTTCACGACAGACAGCGGGCTCCCCCGCACCCCTTGTCCCAAAGCCGCGTCCGGCCCGCTCCTACGTGCTGCGGGCCGGGCTGCGGGCGGGGGTTCGCGTAAAACGTGGGGACCCCGGGCGCAGATCCAAGGCGGGGGCCGGAGACCTCCGGGTCCACCGGTCCCTTTGGGCAAGCTGGGAGCCTTACCCCGGCGCTGGACACTCGCCTGGCGGTCGGCTGCTTCTTACCGGAGGCCGAAGGCAACGGGGGCGGGAGTTGCAGCCGCCACCAGGTCGGGTCCCCGCCTGGAGGGCCCTGGGGCGGGCAAGTGGATGGGTTGCGGCGGATCGGGGTGCAGGGGAGTGTGTTTGCGGGGTCTGTCTGAGCGGGCTCCTCCAGATGGAAGCCCCTGTTTACATGTCAGCGCGGGCTGGTTTCCCTTCCTCTTGGTGTTTGTGTTGCCCGCTCGGCGCTCGGCGCTGCCGGCTCCCCGGGACTGACGGGCGGGCCTCGGCGCTCCGCCGGCAGGGGGTCTCTCTGCAGCCCGGGTCCGCGCCGCTCCCCTTCCCCCGGCCCAGGCTCTCCGCGCCCCGGCGTGCGCCGACTCCGGGGGAAGGGCTGGCCCCACGGTTGCCCGAAGAGGGTCCCGCGCCCTGCAGAGCCGCTCCTCCTTCGGTGGCCGGCTCTGAGCGGACGGCCCCGGCGACCGCCCTGCCAAATCCACCCCCCTCCTACCCTCACCCCACACCTCGCGCCCGGGTCTTGCAAAATGCAGCCCAAAGGGATGGCTGAGGGTCTGGGTTGCGAGTCAGACTTCGGGAGTGTTGACTGCCTGCGCCTTCTGAAAGCGGGAAGTGGGGCCGGGAGCAGAGAGGAGGGACACCCCCTAAATGACTGACCTTAGAGGGCCGAGAGCAATGAATGAGACCCGGAGTCGGCTTCCAGGCTGTCCCGCAACACCAAGCAGGAGTCAGTCTGGAAAAACTATTAGGCTGGTGAGCTGGGGACTGGCAGAGCCCGCCATTCCCCAGAACCCAAAGGAATCAACTCCTCGCTCAGTGCTGAGTTAAAAGGAGACTAAGATGTTGTGCTTGGAGAATTGAAGAGATTTTTATCATTTGGGTGGAGTAGTGGTTTTTATTTTCTAAGGTTTTTTTTTTTTTTTCTTTTCTTTTCTGAAAGTTTGAAACATGCTGACTTAGGTAAAAGGCACCAACAGAAGGAACTTGAAAATCTGGAGAGGCGATAACTGGTTGTACTTGGTTAAGGGGAGTCTATGTGAGGCTGGATTCCTCCAATTCAAAGTGTGTGGGGTGAGGAGTGTCCCTAGAGCGAGGGTGGAGGTGGCCACTGGTTATTTGTGCGTGTTTCTCTTCCTGCGGGCTTGTGCACGCAAGTGTGTGTGTGTCTTTGGTTTGGTAAAAGGATGTTCCACTCTAGAAAACTGTCTCTCCTTAGGACACTAGCACATACCCAGAAGCACTGCCTCTGATCCGGAAGGTTGGTAAGATGGCTCCAGGGTCTTGATGTGGACACCCTAAGGAGAAGTGAAGCAATAGCTCCATGATGCTCAGACCTCTAAGGCCCTGAGCAAATGGAGGAAGCTGTGGTCTGTGTACCCAGGATGTGCTAACCTCTCTAGATACACACACAGGGATTGGCATGGCAGGCAGTGACAACAGACTTAGACCAAGACCCTGGAGCTGCATGCTAAGGATGGAAGTAAAGGTCTTCTTTATCATGTGGGTGGTGGGAGCCTGGGAGCCCCTCCAAACCCTTCTCAGTAGCATGCTTGTCCCTTGTCCAGGGGACCTGGCTATGCAGACCCACCCACGGAGCAGTGGCTTTCAAAGTTATCTTTGGTGTCCCAAATTCTGAAGGATTGAGTTGTCAGTATATACTTTGGTATTTAAATTGTGTGAAAGTCACAGTTTCCTGTTCCAGTGTGACCTTTGGATCTTGATGTTCCCCAGCCCGTATTCCCGAAATGATTCCAACCCTGGCTTTGCAGGGGACAGTGGACATAGGGGAGGCCAGTGGATTTTGGTCTCCATGTGAGAGTGCACAGCCCCTTAGACCCATCTGAACTTCAAAATCTTTGTACAGATGAAATAGTCAGAAGAACTTACCTGTACGGCAGTATCTTTCCAATCCTTTCTTCCTAATATATCACATTATATGCTCTCATAAGGACATGTACCTGCATGTTCACAGAATCTAGTTATATACAGATTGAGGTCTGTAGACAGAAATCTAGAATGTGGGTTCCCAGTTTGAGTGACCTTGACAAATCATCTTTGAGTAATTCTGGAATGTGACTTTTATGCACCTGCATATTTCTTTCTCAAATGTAAGGCACGTCTATATTTCAAAATACCTCTGGGTCTCAGCACTAACGATGCCAGGATGCAGGGGAGTCTGGATTTCTTTGCAGAAGGTTTTTATTTTGGGCATCATTTTTACAACTCGGTGTGATTTCAAAATCTTAATCTTGCTGCCCTTGGTATAAGTCCTTCTGTGCTGTGTTATCTTCTCCTGTCCAAGAATGTCTCCTGGGAAGACTCTGAGCATCACATTAGGAATACCAAAATTTCCAGGAGCCATTCCACTCTTCTTTTGGCACAGACAAGTTAACCGGCAATATTAAACAACACCTACCCCACCCCTGCTCCCCACAGTGATATTATCAGTGTTGAAAATCACGTGATACTGGTTGCTGCTCAAGAGATGACCTGGTTTCAAAACCTGTATCTTAGTTTTATGCAGTCTTCAGTTGAATCTAATTATTCCATCGAGGAAAGCCAGATGCAATGCCCATGGTCCCATTAAAGGTGGTGAAACGATGAAAGAAGGTGCAGACACGGCCAGTGAAGCAGGGAAGTCCACAGCAGACTCGAAGTCAAAAAACCTGAGTTCATTCTCAAGTGGTATGCACTTACTGTGTGCCCTACAGCAAGGCATCTCGGTTCCTTGAATGTCAGTTTCCTCATCTATAAAATGGGGGTGATGTTCTCCCTTGCCAGAGATCAGAGGAAGGATTGAATCAAGTTTAGTACCTTAGCTGAATGTATATGAGCTGAATTTCTCCTTGGGGATAGGGCTTGTGGGGATCGATTGGTCAGAATTAGATCATAGGTCTGGATATACCATAATCCATATTTTATTAATTCAACATAATGTTAATAATAATATAATATTAGGCATGCCTCTATTACGTTCTAAAGCTCTGCTTTCCGTGTTGGGGATAAAACAGGTATCAAGAACCTACTGGAATGTATACTGTAGTAGAGGTGGCAGACACGTAACTAAATAATTCTAAGTCCAGGGGTGATACCCCTTCTGAAGAACAATGAAGCGGGTTAGGGGATAGAAAGTGATATGGCCGTTATCAGCCAGAATAGTCAGGGAGGATACGTCAATAAAGTCACAGTCGAGCAGAGAAACTATCAGGTTTCATCCTTACCTCAGGAAAATGCAGCACTATACAACCCTTAAATCATGGGGAAACAAAAGGGAAGGATAGCTTGGGGTCAGCGCTGGCCTCCGAAAACCAGCAGAGAGACCAATGTGGCAGACAGAGTCAGGGGGATAGGTCATCGCTGACAGGATAGTCCTTATCCAATCGGGAAACTTCAGGATGGCATCAGGAGGAATCAACGGAGTGAGGAACATTTGGGAACAAAGACTTCACTTCTGCCCTCAGAAAGGGATGCTGCCTTTACTTTGAAGAGTGAACTGCCCCTCCCACCCCCTCCCCGGCCACCACCACCTTTTAACCTTCCTGTCTATCTCCTGGGTTCATGAGGACTTCAGGCCAGATAGCCTTTGTCAGTTTATCTGTCCCGTATCAAATGTTTTTTGTTGTTGTTGTTTTGTTTTTTGTGTTTTTAACTCAGGTAATTACCAAAATGGTGAATCCCGTTTTGTTTGTGAGTAATTCCTACAAAAATCTTCCTTCCACTTCTGCTGCCATTCAAATTCAAGTTTACAGGTTTGCTACTTTAGAACTTTCCAGATTACTGAGCTCGATATGCTCATTCTATGGGTGGGGAAACTG